CCCTTTTTTTTTTTTTTTTTTTTTGGCCTTCTGACTGATTTGGGTTTTAGCTCATTGTATTATTTATGTTTTTGGATCTTTAGATATTTAATGTGCATGACTGCTACATTAAAGAAGTCTGTCTGCATTTTTTCCATGCTATATAAATGAAGAGCATGGTGAATTCACCAACTAAAGTTACACATATTCATTCTTATAAAATTATGTTGTCATTTCCTCGTTTGAGCTATCTACAAGTCAGCTTTGTTCAAGTTTGTGGCACTCACATGTCACCTTCAGGATTTTCCCAACATCAGTATGTAATTTCAACTATTTATTACTTAATCTTTTAAAAATGCCCATGTTCTTTATGCCAATAAATGTATTTCCAAAGGAAACTGCACATCATTGCCATAATAAGAAAAGCAATATCTTTTACCATAAACAGAAGGAACCTTTAAAAATAATTAAAATTAAAATTAAACAATAATATTAACTTCTAGGTAGATACCATTGTCTGTTGAAACTCAAGATCCAAGGCCAGCTCTTTCTTTGTTAAAAAAGGGGTTAGTAGAAACCTGGGCTCAGTGGGCTGGGCATCATCCTGTGCACCAAAAGGCTGCTGGTTCGATTCCCGCTTGGGGCACGTGCCCAGGTTGCGGGCTCGATGCCTGGTGGGGGGGTGATCAGGAGGCAGCCGATCAATGTCTCACTCTTGCATCGATGCTTTTCTCTCTCCCTCTCCCTTCCTCTCTCTAAAGATCAATAAAAATAAAAATAATAAAAAAGGAGTTAGTAGAGTTAATGAAAGGTTACAAAATCTTAGCAATAAACTGAGATTTTTCTAGAAACTGTGATAGAATCCGAAGTATAAAAGGGCATTTTCTCACGGCGCAGTCCCACGCCCTCTGCCCCGCCTGCGGCTCTGTCCCGCGCCCTGGGCCTGGCCTCTCCTCCGACGGCGTCTGAGCGCCGGGTTCCCGCGCCGGGGGCCAGCGGCTTACCATCTGCCTGAGGAGCGCCAGCAGGGAGGTTCTCGGTGGCTTGCCGTCTTCCCTTTTGGGTTTTCCTTCGGGGGGTGCGGGCAAGGCCTCTCCCTCGTCGCTGAGATCCACTGTCTGTAAGGCGCAGTCTGCTTCCTCGGACTTTATAACCTCTACTGGTGATTCACACACCACCTGGATTATTTTGCCAGGTAATGAGACAGTGAAAAAACCCACATTCTCCCCAAACATGTCTTATAAAGTGGGGTCCAGGTTGGCCCTTTGTCCACCTAGAGGCCACAGGTTGGAGTCTATGACCACTTCTACACAGGCTCATCTTCAAGAGGGAGCACTCATGTCATGCAAGGTGCGCTCCCAGCTGATTTCTGAGCAGGTGCCAGACAGGCTGACTTGGAGGCAAAAGCCCTGCTCCACAAAGGCACAAGGCTTAGACAGAAAGTCGCTTTTGGGGACTGCCCCTCAAGCATGCTCAAAACCCCTTCCCTTCTAGAAGGCCCGCCTCTGTGGTCTGCTGTAAAGGTGAATTACACCTGGGCTGTGTAAATATCAGGAGCAATCATTCCCTGGGGTCTGACTTTAGAGATGGTGACCGTGACATCTTCCACTCCACATCTGAGTTCCCTGCGACTGTGGAGAAACTGTCCCCTACACAGAAAGCATAATGTGACAGCTCCTCCACTAATAGACTCCAAGTCTTTGTTAACTCATTTCCCACCACACCCCAGGCTGTCATTTGCCACTGTTGCTTAGCTGAAGTTCATGCCTTCAGAAGAGAAATGAACTTGGCACGAAACTCTGGCTAAGCTGCTTATGGCCCCCAGCAAGGTGCCCAGTGAGCTCAGTGTCCCCTGAATGGCTGCGGTGGGAAGGGCTGGCCAGCCCTGGGCGTAGGTCTGAGTCACCTGCCTTCTGACCCCCACATGTGCTCCTGTGCATGGCCTCACTGCCTTTGTGCTGGGCCCACTCACACCTGAGACAGTTTCTGCATTTGCTTTGGTCCCTGCCACCGGACAGAGAGGGTTTTATAATTTTGTTTTTGTTTCCTTAGGTGGGAATTGGCAAACCACTACCAGATCCATCCCTTAGTCTGGTTACGTATGGCCTCCAAGCTAAGAATGGATTTCACATTTTTAAAGGGTTGTAAACATCTTTTTTAAAACATGGAAAATATCCACTAGAGACTGTGTGTGGCCTGTGAAGTCTAAAATCCTGAATCTCTGGCCCCCGATGTACAAGTTTGCCGTTAATTCCCTGCCTTGGAGGGAAGCACTGTGAGCTTGGTATTCCTGGTGCCAGGTCCCGGCTTCCCCAGTGTCCTGTTCTTGCTGTCAGGGACCAGGGGAGGTAGCTTACTGATTTCCAAAAGCGCAGTGTGCTGGCGGAGAAGCCACGTCCTGCCCCTCAGTGCAGAACACACCAATGGCTGAGTGACCTGAATGATCCAACGAGGACCCTGCCTCTGTGTTGTCAATGGGAGCAGGAAGGTGCCCGCCCGGCAACGAGCCAGGGTGCAGGAACACCCGAAAGAAGGTGTTACGCCACAGCTATCTCTCCCTGCCTTTTGTTTCTTAATGCACTTTGTAAATAAAGATCTAGGTTGGGGGGTTACAAACTCAAAAGTCCCCAGGAGTCAAGAAGTTGGCTTTCAGCAGGTGGTCTCAGCACCAACTGACCAGACAGATGACAAGAAGGAGTGGCGGGGACTGTAATGGACAAAAGACAAGTTGCCCATCTAAAGGTATTCCAAGGAAAAAAGCGCTGGGCCAGCCAAAGAAAACATGTCTGTGAGGAGGCTTCGCTGCGGGGCCTGGCTTTAGGAAACCAGGCTCAGACTGGAGCAGCGAGAGACTGGACTGGCAGTCAAACGGGGGCGTGGGTTTCCGCACCGAGGCCTGATTCAGTTCATCTGCATTTCTGAAAAATCAGCTTCAGCCACAAGAGCCCTGGGGTGAGCCTGAAACACAGGCAGCTGACACAGTGTTTGTGAGCATAGCTTCTAGCACCAGCCTGCCTGGGCTCTAAATCTCAACTCCGCCCCTCCCAGGGGCTCTAACAACCCAGGGTCCCCACTCAGCATCTCTGCCTGTATGTTCTCAGTTTTCCGTGGGAACAGTATAGACATCAGAAAGCGCTTTTCAGAGTCAAATCAGGCAATGCATGTAAAGTGCCTAGAACAGTGCCTGCCTGGTACATGACAAGCTCTCAGTTGGTACTACTGCTTGTCCCTTGTGCTATTATGAGAGCTGCTTCCCCATGGGCATGGATTACCTGGAATCACCCACCATGCCCATGTGCACCATTTAGAAAGGATACTAATACCTACCTGCTATTGTACCAATCACTGTGCAAGGTAGTTTTTTAAAAAATTAATCTTCACCCAAGGATATTTTTTCTGTTGATTTTTAGAGAGAGTGAAAGGAGGGGAGGGAGAGGGAGAAACATCGACTGGTTGCCTCCCGCATGAGCCCCAACCAGGACCTGGGATCGAACCTGCAACCCAGATAAGTGCCTGTGACTGGGACTGGAAACTCCACCCTCTGGGTGTGTGGGCTGGCACTCTAACCACTGAGCCACACTGGCCAGGGCGCAAGGTAGTTTTAATATATTACCTCAGTAAATATTTTCAGAGACAGCTCAGCGCAGATAACATTATCTCTATCTACAGATGAAGAATCTGAATAATTGAATGGCTTGGCCCAAGTCACACCACAGGTAAGGAGCCATTTCAATGAGGAGGAAGTTGTCTACCAGTAACTGAATATCTAATAGTGACTTAATCAATAATGATATGGAACAAAAAGTTTGACAGTTGGAAGCTCTGGGATTGACTTAGCAGCTCCACAGTTTCTCTAAGAACCCGGACTCTTTCTGTCCTTTGGCTCTGCCATCCTTGGCATGCTAGATTTTCATCCTTTTAGTTGCTACCTCATGGATATAAAGTGGCTGCCACAGGTCCAGGCATCACATCCTCCAGCCAACGTTCTAAGAAGGAAGGAAGATCACAGCAAAAGATTTGTTCCAAATGAACTTCTGTACTTTAATCCCCTACCTCGGGGTACATTTCATTGGCCAAAAGTAGGTCAAGTTCTTACTCCTAAACTAATAACTGGGGAAGAATATGGGTTATTGGTTTAGACTAATCACAATTAAATACTTTGGGGGTGTAGTAGTCGGCAACCTCGCCTAAGATCAAGGGACGACAGGCGGAGAAAGGAGAAATGACCCTTAAGTAAATAATGAACAGAGTCTGGCTCACTGTCTCCAGCTTCAGAATTATTCTGTCTTTGAAGCAGCACATTTTGTGTGTGTACAAGGGCATGGAGGGAAAATTACTCACTTGGTCAGGTTGTACGGCAGTGCCTTTATAAATCTGCTCTACCTGCTTGCCAAACGTCTCTTGCCTGGCCTTTCTTAAGGTCGGCAGGTGTTAACTCGTAAATCCTAGATCAGAGTCCATTCTGAAAGAGCAAAAAAAAGGACTCCCAAGAAGTTGGCTTTCAGCAGCCAAGGGAAACCCAGGATGGAAACCCAGAAGGATTTAAGCTAAATCAGGAGCTTATTTGCATAGATGGACATAAGAATTTCATTTTTATTTGGATAGTTTTCTGATTCTTTCCAGGCTGTGGCTTTGGAAAAAGCTGTTCCTTATTTGGAATATCTGATTGTATCTGCACATTTTAATGAACACAATTAAAGTCAGATTTGTGTTATAATTTAGAATTAAATCTCCCTTGCTTAATGTCAGTAGGGGATATTAGATGCTGCATGAAGATATACATTTTGGCAAAATATAGTTTCACTTTCTGCCTTGGACATTATATCATACCACTCTTAAGATTTGGCTTATACAGTTTTTACTAGAGCTGTGCGTTTTGGAAACTGATTTCTAGCAAGTTCTATTTCCTCCACTTAAATTCATGTACAACATAATACGGTTGGTATTAAAAGTTTTGATTTTAGGATCTGTTTTAGATTCTTTCCGATTTGATTTATAATATGATTATTTGATTACAAAGACGCTGTAGAGATTTTACTTTTCTATCCAGTAACTATTCTCCCACATTCTATTCACACACCCAGTTTTGCTTTGGGGGAAGCAACCCTTCCTAACTTTAAGACGGCATAAGCTGAATGAAGCTGGTTGGGCGGGTCTAAGTGAATCAACATGGTCTAGCTCCTTGACCATACCGGTTCAGGGTGGCAGTATGTGACAAATTGCTTTATTTTCCTGATTATCACTCCCCCTTCCTGTAAAAGAATTATACATCCGTGCCCATTGCTGTGTGACTTGCTTTGGCAAATGGAATGTGAGTAGACAGGATGGAGATCAAGACTGAATGAAAACTTTGGAGGCGATTCAAGGCCCACCCACGGCACTTTTTTCCCTGTCGTTACAACTGTATGTCCTTGTCAAAGGGCGGCTTCTTCATTCTAGATCTCAGTAGGAAGAGGCCACGAGGATCGCCCAATAGACGACTCACAGCTGATATGTAGCATGAATGAGAAAAAACAGAATCTTTGCTGTCAAAAGCCAGTGAAGCTTGTGGCTTGCTTGTTACTGCAACATAACCTGGCAAAACCTGACTAATAGAGCCTGTGAACCCATTCGAGCCGATGAAAGGGAACACATTCGGGACATGTAGGGCTGCTGCTCAATCAGTCTCTCCTTTGCTCTGAACTGGGCGATACGATGTTGGCAAGCTGAAAATATGGCCAGCCCATGAAGGCTGGGTCAAGGGAGAGCCCTGAATCAAGGTTATTCGAAATGAATTCTACTCCTAGTTATGATGGCTAATAAATACCATTTTTCTTTTTTAATCCAGGTTGTGTTTTTGTTTTTTATTTTCACTTGGAACTGAGAGGATACTTAATAAGAGAGATAAATAACAGAAATAGCTGTTCCCTTGATCTTATAGGTCATTAGGAACAAAAGTCCCCCTCCCCCCCCCCATTAGTTAGAACATTAACTCAACTAACAGCCAATACATTTTCAGATTACAATGGAAATATTCAATAACTTCAGTGGTCAGAGAGATAGATTTTACCTCTGATAGGACCAAAAGTTCATTCTAGGGAAGTACTGAACTTCCACAGGTGTCAAAACCTTATTTTTCTTTTCACGAAAAACTTGAGGCAATGTTGAAGTCACTCTCTGTCCCTTGCTTTGTATTGTTTGATAGGCTGGTTTGGAAAATTGTGGTAGAGAAATTTAACAAAAAAACAACCATATTTTAGCCAAAATAAGTCTCTAGTTAATGAAATTTCATGATATGGTTAAGAACATCAACTTGTCCAGTTTTGAAGGTTTAGAGTCCTACATTGTTCGGATTAATCCCATCTCTTTTATTTGGGAGGAAGAAATTGGTTTGCACTCCATGTGGGCACTGGTCAGCTGAGAGGTGTATAATTTCATGAGGAAACATAATCACTGGGAGCCCTCGTTCATAATGTTACAAGTCCTAAGCACTGGCGATGGCTGCAGGGGGAGCACCTTTTCCTGCAAAGGGCTTTGTTACAACTGCTCAGCTTTACAGCATCCACCACACGTAAAGGAATGGGTGTGGCTGTGTTCTAATAAAACTTTACTCATAAACACTGAAATTTGGATTCTGTATAATTTCAAGTATCATGAGGTATTATTATTTCTTTTGTGTGTTTTTTTTAACCATTTGAAAATGAAAAAACCATTCTTAGCTTGTGAGCCATATAAACACAGGTGATGGGTCAGAATTGGTCCGTGGACTCTAGTTTGCCAACCTCTGAATTACTGAGTTCGTTCATCCTATGCTTCAGGCACTGAAGTATGGACATTACATGCATTGCCCATTTAATTCTCACAAGAACCCTAAGAGGTAGGTAGAATTATGGCCATTTAAGAGATGAGTAAACTGAGGTCCAAGAGGTGGCACAGCCTGGGGTGAGGGGGCCAAGATCACAGCATTTTAGCATCATTCCCTCCAACATCTAGGCTGTTAGAAGATGAAATGTTGAAGCTTAAAAATAGAAATGCCATTTTTAGGGCTAAGCAATTTAAAGGAATTTTTTTATGCGTCTTTATTTTCTTGAGAAAATATTTTGCTTTCTTTCATCACTCTATCAGCTTTTGTGTTTATCTTTGGTATCAACAATTTAATTCATGTTTATATTTCTGTTTTAAATCCCACACTGGAAAAGGAAATCCTTCCTGTTTGCTCATTAGACATTAACACTGCATTGCAGCATATGAGCTGCGAGACCCAGGGCACCTCAGACAAGCGACTGCCTGTGAACCTCCAAAGGAAGCTTGTCTGCAAAGAGCCCGGGACTGTGAAGCTCACTGGGGCTCCAGACTTAACCTGCAGATTCCAAAGACCTTCGTCCTAACAGGAATGACAACAGAGCCGTTTTAATTTCCATTCCACACCACAGACAATATCTCTGAAACACACTTGCATTTTCAGCATCTCTTCAGTACCAGCAACTAAATGAAAATGAAAACACAAGCCCTACCTGTGGCAAGTAAACAGGAGACACCTCAAAAGAGCAGAATCTATTGCTCAGGAAAAATGATGGTGATCAGTTTCTATGTTGAGGAGCAGTGGATTCATTTATTCCCACTTATAAAATTTTCCGAGGACTGCTGCTTCTTTCAGAGCAGAGAGCTGCTGTTTGGGTGGGAAATGCATGAGGCCAATTCATTCATTCCCAGGAAGATGCTTTGGAAAGATACATTTTCATGGCATCTCATACGGAGCTGGCTCCTTCAGACATGAGTGCACTGTCTTGAAAACTTGGACCATCGCTCTAGAAGAGCAAGGCCAAAAGGACAGACATACGACCTATGTTTCTCAGGTGTGGACTCACGAAGTGGGGTCTTCAACCTGAGATCAAGTCTCAGCATCTATCCCTGCGGCAACTACCTGCCCGGGGTACCACCCACAGTTAGTAGAGAATCTGGGTTGTCATGCACATGAAGGTGAAAGAAGCAACCGGAGCAGAAAGGGGCAGAGGGTGCGGCATCCTGGTCCCAGAAGGAAGTGGAAAGAGGTTCTTATGTTTAGTAGACTCTTTCAGCCCTGAAAGGATGACAGATTTTAAAATATGTGGTCTGAATTTGCAGCCAGTTTACACTGATTCAAAGGGCATTAAAAATAGTGACCTGAAGTTATTCCCCAGGGGCCCCTAATCCCGTGAGAGGGTGAAAGAGTCTACGGCAGACAGTAACACCGGAGCATGCAAGGACTCGGTCCCCGGAGCTGAGATGCCCGTGGTGCCACATGCAGAAGGTGAGAATGGAATGAGTCTGTCACGTCATGCGTCACTTACAATCTCCTCTGCACCTGTGGGGACTGAATCCTCTTTAACTGACTGAAGGGAAGACAAAAACAAAAGCAGGAGTCAGAATGTTACAGAAACCAGGGCTGACGGCCTCCGGGTGCAGTTCCTGGACGTTGCTTATCTGGGCCTTGTCCAAGATGAACCCGAAGGGGCCTCACACAAAATCGAACAGTATAGCAAGATCAGACATATTATGCATTTTTAAGTGCAACAAAGGGAACACAAACAGCCAGACGCAGCCAGGAGAGGGGTCACTACAGAAAACACAAACCACAGTCTTGACTGTGAGTCAGTAACACGTTTATCTTGGCATTTCCTGGAAGCTGATGGGAAGGGGGAAATATGAGCGATCGTGCAATACACAGGCACTGTTGGGTAAAAACAAATGATGTTCAGGAAAATTCTGGTAGCAGGACCGGAGAGAGTCATCCATGGTCCTTGGAGAGCAAGCAGGCCCTAGGTAGCGAGCAGGGCCCTGAGCCTTGTCCTGACCATCGCGCGGTGGCCAGCGTCAGAGCTGCTTCTTACATCAGCCCTGAACAGGGGCCAAGTTCACCATGTCGGAGCTCAGTTCGGTAAAAACACTTCTATGGAGGGTCAGAGGGCTGGGGTCCAACACATCCAAGTTCAAACACTGTTACTTCCTGGCCTGCCCCAAGTAGGAGACTAGTTATCCCAATTCTATCAAAAGCCAATGCCACACCCCCATGCTCAAGGTTGCGATTTATCAAGTGACAACACAGCTTTTATTTTTGAAAGAATGTCTAAGAAACTAATGGATGTTAATTTGGAGGAACAAAGGCTTGGCCTAGACATTTATAGGATGGGTAGCACTTTGGGCCCAATCATAGTCCACCATGTGGGGGTCCCCAAACAGTCCTGGAGACAGAAAATGATCTCTAAATATTTTGTTTAGCTTGAGCTTTTTAATCAGCTCTACAAGGTGAGGGGATATATGATTTAGCTGATATTGTTTTCATATTTTACTTGCATATTTTTAAAAAGTTGTAAATAAATTGGTCTTTGCTTAAAAAAAAAAAAAAAAAAAAGCCAATGCTACAATCGTTCTATCGGTTTGCCAAGCTCCAGCTCTGGAGCTCATCTCTGATCTTTCCTGCAGCCATTCTTACCCTTTTCGGGGGGTATTTGCAGACAGACCACTTTGAGATTCGCTGGACAGGCCTGAACTTCTTCCCAGAGAAATAAACATGACAAGATATTTTGCAAATTATTTCAGGGTGTTCATAGACTCGCATCACTTCTCTTGGATTCCAGGCTAAGAACCCTTCCCCACATCTATTTAGTTCCAGATCCCACCTTTATTTTTCCATTAAAACATCCAGTGGGAAGGGAAGAGGGGGACTGACATGCACAAATCAATTGCACTTGGCGCTTTGTATACAGCATCTCACTTAATGCGGCCCCAAGCGGGAAGTATGGGATCCTCATTTGCTCAGCAAGAAATGCAGGCACGGAGAGGCGAAGTCACTCGTCCGAGGTGGTACAGCTAAAAGGTGGTGGAAATGGTTCTGAGGACCAAGCTTTCCTCCTGCCACGAGGACTTCCAGGATCAGAAACACATTTGGGGGACGCTGGTGACAGTGTAAGCTGCTTTCTCCACGACCAGGCTTCCTTCCCTCTGGGTGAGAGCTTCAGTGTGGGTCATTGATTCCTACTTATTGATTCCTACTTATTGATTTCTAATCCTCACCCTGAAGCTGACCTGGCCACAGACATGGCCCTGAAAAGAACTGTGGGTTTTCTGGAAGCTCCTGGTTGTCAAGAAATCATAGACCATTCAGAAGTGTAGCTTTCTTGGAATTACGCCCATTCTCCTTGATACCAGTTGCGTGCTAATTAGTATTATGAACAGGGGACGAATGAAGCAATATTTTGAAAGCCAGGCCTCCTCAAACCTGACCTGCCAAAGCTTCAGGGGTCAGTGTACTGTCTGCTTGAGGCTGCCAAGTCCTCCCACGACTTCAGAGCGGCCGCTTGCGGCTCCCCAGGCCTCTCTCCTGCCCGGCAGGTTGTGACGAGATTAGTTTGTGTCTTCGGCCTCCTGCGTCCGGGAGGTTCCTGGCCCTCGAGAGGAGCGGGGGAGCCTGACGGGGGTGCCGGCGAGAAGCAGAGGAGCCGCTCTCGGACACTGATGTTTCCGTGGTCTCCGCCATGGCTTCAGACGCCCAGGTCTCCCCGACGTTTCAGGAACTGGCATCGTAAATGCCGCCTGTCCCGAGAGGCTTGCTCTTTCATATTGTAAAACTATACTACCCCGCAAAACATTCTTTATTTTGGGAATTAGCCCAATGGAGCATTTCTCAAACTTGGACAATTTTCACGATTTTCACCGTTTTCACGATTCTTTACCTGTCCATGCACCACCTGTACTTACTTGATATTTTTCTTGAAATTGACTGCTTTTTTATTTAAATAAGTATATTTTCAAAGAAGACATCATTACAGTGAATGTAACACCAACATCCTTGCTGTAAGTTGAAGTGTGTATAAAACAACTCCAAGTGAAAACAATTAGCTCATTAAATCCTAATTACTTCAAAGCTGATGTTGAGAAGGGAGGCGGGCACACGTGGGCACAGAGGTGCCTAATACCCAGAGCCGCTTTTCTTAGTGCCGCAGCAGGGGCTGGCGTCGGACGGAAAAGGGGGCGACCGACCGCATGTCAGAGTGGCGTCCGAGAACCACGCAAAACCCTTCTGCACGTTTGCGTCCGTTTGCACGCAGGCCTGAGTGCGTCGCCTTGATGCCGGCAGTGACGGAAACGCCCAGTTAGAATGGCCCAGAAACAACGCTCCTGCCCCTCCCAGCGTCAGAGAACACAGCTCGGGCTGTGGCTCCTCCCTGGAAGCATCGGAATTTTCTAGCGCTACTCTGTAATTTTCAAAAATTTTACAAGACTGATTTTATAACTCTAACTTATTTTAATTTAAAGAAAAGAAAGCAGTGGTCTCAATTTTATTTTCAATGAGAACAGAGGCTCCCCATGACATTGTCAACCTCAAAAAGTCAGCAATCTGCCCACCGCTGTCTTTTCTGATTGATTGATTGAATTTCTTGGGGTGACATTGGTTAATAAAATTATGTTTCAGGGGTACAATTCTGCAGTTCATCATCTGTACATTGTGTGTTCACCACCCCAAGTCAAGTCTCCTTCCATCACCATTTATTGCCCCTTTACCATCTCCTACACCCCCCTCTTTTCCTCTGGTAATTACCATGTTACTGTCTGTGTCTATGAGATTTTTTTTTGGGGGGGGGGCTAAATCCCTTCACCTTTTCCACACAGCCTCCCTCCTCCTTCCCCTCTGACAGCTGTCCGTCTGTTCTCTGTATCTGTCAGTCTGTTTCTGTTTTGTTTGTTAGGGAAAGATAAGTACCATATGGTTTCACTTACATGTGGAATCTAATGAACAAAATAAACTCATGGCTGTCTTTCCAATGCCAATTACTTAACACAAACTATTTAGCACAAAAAAGTCAGCCCAAAGAAACTGATTAAAAGCACCATCACGTGAGGGAATCCCCCCATCTCACTTCCCGAGAGGGCTGTTCTCTCTCACTGGGTGAAAGAGGGAAAGAAAAGATTTACAGGTGTAGTTGCTCTTAACTACGTTATTTTTATAATCAACTAAAGAAACAAAGCCAGATAATGTTGAAAAAGAGAGTGAAAAGAAAATAAAGGAAATTCTGTTATTAGGGAGATAAGTGTCCAGTAATCTCGCCTTCCGTCTTCAATGGGAAAAGCTTGAATTTCAAAGAAAAACCAACATACCCCTGATAGAGCCCTAAGGGGAGAAAAGATGAAGCACTTGGGGCTTGTTCGCTGACAAGCTTCTGCAAACCGGGGGGAGGGAAGGATACAGAACTGGACGTGGTCAGGGCCCCAACCCTCCCGAGCGCCCAGGAAATCAGCGACATCGGGGACAGCGACCCTGCTCACCAGCCAGTGTGCTGGGCGCGTGCTAGGGCCTTACGGGAGCCATTTCTCCGAGCCTTCCTTCATTTCCGTGCCCTAGGTGCCGTCCTCATTGACGCGCACTTAGGAAACCGAGGCTCATCCACGCAGACTGCGACTCGGTGTCCGACCTGGCACCAAACTTTTAACCCCTACATAGGGACCCTCAAATGTCTGTCACTTCCCGACCGCCTCTGCGGTGTTGGCCTTGTATGCGCCATCTGTGGCAGCCGCGGGAGTGTGGCACTCAGGTCATCCTTGCAAGGACGGCCTGAGACTGCTCAGCATCCGGGACGGCGACAGTGTGGTGATGCCCAGGCCGGCCCTCCCTGGCTGCTCCCAGCCAATGACAGCACCCGGGGTGCTGGGCCGTTTCCGTCCAATGCAAGGTGGCCCGAATGCCCAGTGTCTGCTCTGGGATCCCCCACTGGCTCAGTCCCACCCCCAGGCTGAGGGTCTGTCTCCCCCTTCCTTCTCTCCCTCCCTCCTGTCACAGGTCACAGGTCACAGGTCACAGGTCACAGGCGTGAGGCCCTCAATGGTGGGCAGGCTCTCTACCTCCCTCCCCTTTATGCTTCACACTCAGTTTCCTCCAACAAACCCCTGCACATCAGTCCTGTCTGGGTACCTACTTCTTGGCAGACCCAAATTTACCACTATTTACTTACTATCAGTACCATGGCTTATGAAGCACTTTCCTTCTAATTGGGTTACTTTTTAAACATATAGTCTGACCTTGAACAAAATATGTGTTAAATCAAGTTTAGTGTGCCAGTTCTACTTTTTCTAATACACTTTAAATTTATATATATTTAAATAAAAGTAAAACTGTTTGAATATGGGTCTCCAAACTCACCTCCCTTGCCACCCACCTACATATGTCACTCACTGAAAAACTGTCCCCAACATTATATTGCTGATAAAAGGTTTTTCAAAATAAGTCATGGGTAGTTGGTGAGGGAAGAGAGTTTGGACCAAACAGCGAATGACATCATCCAAAGTTTTCATTTAGTATTGGAGTTTGTTTCTGGGCAGAACCCGGAGGGGAGAATCCTACACAGCAGGAAACACACAGGGAAGAAATCCGGGTGGATTCCGGACGAGAGAATAAAGCGAGCTCCACAGCGGCATCTGTATTTCTCAGTGCCTGGCCCTCTAGCCAAGTGGCATGGATTTTGATGAGATGACTAAATTAGATTTTCCCAGCTCTATGAATCACACCCCACCGCCCGGCTCACCCACAGCGTCTTGCTCTTCTTTTGGTCACATTTAAAACAGGCAAGACTTGGGAACATGCAGGGCAGCTGGGGCGTGCTCAGCAGTGCGGCCCAAGGAATAGCTCTCGGGATGACCCAGCCCCACCCAAGCCATTTCCTTGCGCCGCTCCTTCATTCTAGAGGGGAAAAATCAGATCGTGGCTTGAATTTTCCTATCACAGAGAGCGTTGTGTGCTTGTCCTGGTGGGAAGCTGGTGGACACCTTGGTTTTTCAAAAGGTTGGTGAAATCTGGAGCTTCTAGTAACTGATTATACCTGGCGGGGGAAACAGAGAGCCCGGCNACAGAGAGCCCAGTGGAGGTTCCTCTCGCCAGGGGGAGGGCCCTCAGAAGAAGCCAGGGGGAATAAATAATAAATGATTTTCGAAAGCAAATGAAATACCGCAGCCCTCAGTCATAAACCAGAGTAATTCCAAGAATGAAGAACCCTACTCGTTCGTTTCCCTTTCTTTCCCATGAAACACGTTTGCGCCGTGCCAGGCGTTTCACTCTGCCCAGCAGCGAGCGAGCGAGTCTCCAACTCAGCGGCTGGTCGAGCCGCTTGGAGGAGAGATNACACGTTTGCGCCGTGCCAGGCGTTTCACTCTGCCCAGCAGCGAGCGAGCGAGTCTCCAACTCGGGCTGGTCGAGCCGCTTGGAGGAGAGATGCCCCGTGTGTCGCCGAGCTCACCGACTGGCCCACGGAAATCATTTCTCAAGTCCTCCCAGCCCAAGCACTCGCCACGTCTTGAGAATAGGACTTACCTTTTTCCAGAACAGTTTGCTCAGAGGCAGCGAGGAGGGTCCCCCCTTCTGCTTGGCACCCTCCTTTGCCGTTTCTGTGGGTGTAGGATTCTTGGCTGCCCCTTGGGTCTCCGGGGGTACAAAGGTGGCTTTGTCTGCCTTGAGGTCTGCTGACGTGGCGGGTGACTTTTCAGCACCCTATAGAGTTAAAAAAAATACACTGATTTCCAGGCCGCAAGCGGGAGAGACCTCGCTTCTATAAACGTGGGCTGGGGGCATGCATGTTACTTTTCTTCATGTTCTGCCGTATTTTCCACACATGCTGCTATGAAGGGGGATTGCTGTTAAAATCTGGGGCAAAGTCAAGATATTTCCTTTTGGAAAAAAATATCTCTGGCACCGTTATTGATCATGTTTTTGTAAGTAATTCGTTAGGCATCAAGGTGATCTAAGAGGCATCGCCGTTAGCATGTTAATGAGCACCGAGGCCGCTGGGCTTCGGGTGATTTTGGTTTTGTTCCCATCAGTAGAAACATTTTGAACACGCACTTCCAATACCTGCACGTCTGTTTACATCACAGAGATGGATTGTTTTACGAATCCAAATTTGAAATTGAAGAAGGGTTAAAATAAATATAATTTAAAATTTTCCTCCCCCACTCCGCTGTGGGGGTGGCTGATCCAGGCTGAGTGAGCGGAAGACAGCCAGACTGGAGCGAGGAGTGGGGAGAGCCCCCCACGCCCCGTTTCTTCACGTTTAGATGGAGCCTCTCTGTCTAAATTAGATGTAATCGAATAGGTTGTAATTGACTTAAAGCCAAGCGTTATTCATTCGACTCCTATTGTCTCTCTCTCCTTCCTTCCCTCTCTCTCCCTCCCCCACCGAGTGGCCTTGCTGAGGTCCAGGTCCAGGGAGTCCGGCTTCCTTAGTGACAGAAGTCCCCATGCTCTGCCGTCTGCGCCACCAAATAAAGGGCGAGTTAGGAGAATGGCAGTCCCAATTTATCTCTGCATGAGTGCCCACCGGCATCACAAACTTTAATACTCGCTCCACCGGACCTAACCTCTTTATCTTAAGCATCTTCACTTTATGATTTTTGTTCCAGGAGTTTGTGACACTAGTCCTTTCAGTTCCAGGGATGTCAGATCTCTGGCTAAAAGAAAAAAAAAAATCCAGCAGTAAAACTGGGATGTGGAAAATTCAGGAAGTTTCATAGTGTTTTTGATGTTGGACAGAGTTTTAGAGACCATCTGGGTCAATGCCCCCATTTTCACAGATGGGGAAACTGAGGCCTATGATCCTCCCAGAGTTAATTAGGGGCCACGGGTCTGGCTTTTGGCTCCTTGCTGGCGTTCTTTCCACACAGCACATTGCCTCTTCAAAGGGTATTTGCAAAGAACGTGAATTTGACGATTTGAAGCCATACACTATGTTTTCTGTGCTTTTTTGATACCGAGAGGAAAAAATTCTAGAACTTCAGAATCTGGGGGGCTTTTTTTAATAGCCTCTTATGGCTTTGGCTGAATGGGTTGAGCACATGACCAGGCAGCCATGAGCTGGACACTTACCTACAGTGTCCTACAATGTAAGTAGCCAAGCAACAGATTTTCCATCAAAACAGCGTGGGGTCATTAAGCAACCCAGCCTCTACTGTAATGACATTAGCAGGTTGGTGATTGACTTAAACCAACCCCTTCCTTAGAAATGGAAATGAGGTCAGCTCCCTCGGGAAAATCTGAGCTGGGAGAGGGGTATTTCTGGGTGCGGCAAAAACACTCTAAAACAATGGCCAGCCTTGTGTGCACGTGGTGGCGTCCAGTGTTTGGGACAAGTGTGAAAAGTTTTGATGCTGAGGCATTGCTGTGATGAAACCAAGAAAAAAGGATTCAGATTCAGCCAAGGAAAGCAGACAGCCTTATTCTTTATAGCAATAAACTTATTCCATTTATTTATTAATTCCAGGCTTCTCCGCTTTTCTAAACTAAAAAATTTCTTTTTATAGGAAGGAAAATTGAGACATAGAGAAATGAACCTAGGCATTAACCAGAATTGGTAATTGTTGTATTTGTTTCTAGAGCAAAACTAGAAGATAATACTCCATCCTTGAATTTGCTAGGTTACCATACAATCAAGAAGAAGGATTTTAATCACACCTCCTATAATCGTGCCGCAAGGTTCATTGATAGAATCGAGTTGGTCAGTTTCAATGGCCCCGATTTTTTATCTTTTTGGACAACAGAATAAAATAAATGAAAAAAATAAATAAACTGTTCTAGGCATGGAGGTAAGAGCCAGTGAGATCTACCAGACGGCTGCATAAATGAGAATGAAGAACATTTGGGAATCGTTCCCTTATTTGACTTTCAGGTAAAAAATCCCCCCAGAAACTGAGTATAACTCAAGGCAAACCCAAAAGTCCTGGTACGTGTATAACAGAATCCCAGAGACGGACGCGTCCTCTCCACCTTCCCAGGAGTTTCAGCATCCTGTCCCACCCTAACATGCAACTCAATGGCAGGATGTGAGCCAATGATTTAGGGAAGTTCTAGGAATATTGAACTTGGTGGTCCACTGAAAAGGGGGAAGAGATTCTGGGTGTGAAACGAACGTCATCATGAAATGCAGTGATTACACTCCCAAGGCCCCCTACTCACTGAAGCGCCAAGAGGGAGCCCAGCTGGACCCCTCTGCATGAGATCTATGATGCTTCACTAGCTGTTTCCAAATTGTCTGCCACACACAGTACCACTGCATTTTAACTGTCCTCTTCCACTGCAATAGCTACCATTTACCCCTTTCTCTCTTTACAGAACAAAAGAAGCCTGTACGGAAATTGAAGGGTGGCTTATGCAAATATAGATTCACCCCTGAGAATTTTCTATGGAGCTTTTATGTGCATACACAACCCTGGGACTATCACAGCCAGCAGGGGAAATATTTTTTAATAAGTTCATTCAACTTAGTGGAGAATGGTTGATATTTTCGACAAATTTCCAAGCCTGCTGGCCCAACTCAAGGGTCCTTTTAATGGAAGTTTTCAGACAAACACTGGTGCCTTTTCAGGCATTAGAAGAGTGAAATCTCCCACAACGATTCCTAGGGACACGGAGCTAGAACTCATTCTGCCCATTCATTGTTCCGTTCTGCTGGGTTTTTCTGTGAGTTCAGTGCAAGCTCAGTTAATACTGCAGATGATGGAGCAGGCCGCAGGGAGATGACACTGTTACCTTGAGGTTAGCAGCGTATTTCCCAAGTGGAGAAAGCATACCATCAATGATGTCAGAGATGCTTTTACACTGCACAGAGGTATGGCAGGAAATGACACTCAAACAGTGAAAATACTTTTCTCTTTTCAGCTCTCATTTAATCCTTCCAAGAAGGTTTGGGGAAAATTCTTGGTCTGCTGCTGGTTCGTCTTTAACGTTTCTTGACAGCAGGCTGTCTGCCTTTCAATAAAGCTAGAAAGGACATTCGATTCGGAGCTTTACACGAACAAGGTAACTAGAATGTAATGTCTTTTATTAGCCATATTAGTAGTTACCTTCCTCTTATGATGATTCTGGTTTTCTATGTAAAAAGTAATATAAAGTTTCTTCCAAAGATACCTTTCCATCAGAAATGGATTAACTTCAATATATAAATATCAAGTAAATGATAGTACATGTGACCAAAAATGATGAGGGTGGCATGCATACTTTCAACATTTGGGAAACACTGGGTTAGAAGAATAATTTCAGAACCCTGGTCCACTCTAGGAAGAAACCAGTCTGCAATGTTTATAACTGAAGATGGAGACTTTTTGAAAAATTTACTGAAATCCGATTCACAGAATCTCGAATCCCCCTTTAATGATCCCAGCCACCCAAGGCTCCCTCCGCTGAAGCGGAGCTGGGTGGATCCGCAGGGGCCTGTGTATCATGGTAAAGACCAGGGTTCTTTCCCCGCTCCTAGTTTAACAAAATACAGACCTTATGCCTAAAGAACTTTCTAAAGGTGAGTCCTAGGCTGGGGCTGTGCAGGTGCTTTTTCTTGGTGCCTTTCGCCTGGATCTCCGATGTCTTCTGCACAGCTTGCCCATCACAGACACTTTCTGCTTTGCATGCCTTTCGGGCAATAGCAGTCACAGCTTAGAACTTCATTTTTAAACAAAATCCATTTCCCCCCACTGTTTTTAAGTGCATTAAACCACTTTGACAATTCACTGCTGATATATCACCTCCATCCCCCAACCACAAGAAGTCAGGTCAGGCGACAGTTTCTCTCTTTGAAACTCTCCAAGATGATTTGGTAAAGAGATAGTCTATGTCAGGTACACGTGGACTTTCAACAGGGCGACCTGGTTAAATGACCCAGATGAATAAACCTCCATTCGCTAAAGACAATGACAGGACATTTCAAATCTGTCTACATGGCAAAAAAACACCCAGATGAAAAATCTAAAAAAGTGAAAAAGATGATACAGTCCTCAAAGATCTAAATGGTACTGACACATGGGAAAGAAAAATATATTTGAAGACAAATGATTGATTTGTGCATCCTAGAGTCAAGGCAAATACTGCTGCTAAGTGACTTTCATTCCCAAATGAATATCATTTAACTTATTAAGTGTTAGGGACTTCGGGGAAGCAGTCCCACCCACAAAGATGTCAGCTGACTTCTCGACGGGCAGATCTCCCAGGCAAAAGAAGTTTCTAGTATGAGCCAGTCCATTGAGCCAAAGTGGGGGGAGAGATCGGGACTAAATAGCCCAGCTACACCATTCAAAATTGTTGACTCAAGTGACAAATGGCAGGCGATTCTGTGTGGGGTGTGTAGTGTGCTAAAAATTCCCTTGGCTCAAATGGAAGGATGGGCCAATGGTACAGATGTTTCAAAACTATGATTCCAAGAACTTCAGTAGAAAAGGTGTTAGAAAGGCCAAGTGTGGGAACCAGGGTTGTAGAAAGAGGTCTGTTTATGGGTGTCATGGACAACCTACAGTCACAAAACCCTCTTTGGAGACCTGGCTCCACCCGCAGGGACCCCACAGCTGTCTGGGGGACGGGGAGATTTTATCAGCTAGGCCCGTTCTGCTGGGGCCGCATTCTGGGTGGAGAACCTGTCTTGGTGTATGAGCAGCTGAAGAGAGAGAGAGCATCGGGCCACTTGGGAAGCCACAAAACACACCCACATACCCCACTATTTATAGTCTCTTGTGCTGTGTGACCTCAAACAATGCAAAACACAGACCCCAAAGAGAAACATTGGACCCAAACATTCATTGAACTTGACCCTGGCTGCCTTATAGCAAATGAATAATTCTATAGGAAAACACATGTAGATGCCTCAGGTATCTATTTTTTCCAATAAAAGAAAAAAATTCTAGAGGAACCAGCCAACAGCAGACAAGTATAATCATGGTGTTGTCTGTCTTACAGTGATTATGGAAATAGGGGTCGCCTACATTTGAACAGAGCTGGTTTACCAGGCACTGTCAAACTTGCACTCAGTCCTGGGCTGGGGAGATAGAGATTTCACTGTCCCCATGTGACGGATGTGGAGATTTGGGTTCAGACAGGTTACGATTACACAGCTATCTGGTAGCAGGACCAGAGCTCTAATGCAGGTCTTTTGAGACAAGTCTGGGATCCTTTTCATAGCTCAGCCCCTTCAAGTGCGGGAAGATGTACTCGGCTGGCCAAGCCATTTATTTGGTCCCAGCCTCTTTCCAAGCACTTTCAGTTTCAAAAGAAGGACAGAAGACACTTAGGTGTCACCAAGCTCAACTTTCCTCAGGCATCCTGTGAACTTGAAGCCACGTGATCCACTAGAGATAATCGGTTCTGTCAAGTGTGAGGGGAAAGCATCTCTAGGGAGCAGCTACTCCAAACAATTTGTTTTGAGGAGAGTTGGCTGAATTTCGGGATGACAGTGAAGCAACCCAGGCTCTCCAGGGCGTCCTAACTCCTCTGCACGCTCCCTCCCTGGGCCTCCCCACTGGCGACTGTCTCATGTCATCAAGTAATCGCCTTTGCACTGAGATTTATTTTTTTGTCAAATGACATGGAAAACAAAGAACATATTTTAAAACTCCCCAAAATATAACAGCCTTTATTTCTACTTTAAATTGAGTCTCACCTCTTCCTCATTTCCACGAGCTAATTTTGACTCTATTCCCTGGGTCTCTCTACATACAGCTAAAGAGACTAAGATGATAGATAATTATTAGTATTCTGCTCTTCTGTATAAGAAATTGGTGATTGTGACATTATTTAGTCAGAATTGGCATATATTTCAAGCTTCCCACTAAAATTTTTATTAAAATGCCATTAACATAAATGAAACACTTAAAAGACAATCTAACAGTGCTATTAAATTGCTAAATATGTATATATGTGCATATGCACATCCACACACACAAAGTCCCCGAAACAAAGAAGCAGACACCAGTTCCAATCCAGTTCTGTACACAGACCCAAACATAAACACTCTTCAAGCTACCTACCGTGTCCTCCAGGTCTTTTTTCGTTTCAGCTTTGTTAGATGAAACCTTAAAAGTTTGAGAAAATCAAATGTTAAAACTTACAGCTCTTTAGGGTGACTTTATTTCACAGACACATAGTTTTTAGTTCAGCCCATTCGCTATGCAATCAGAAGTCCTTCTAGTGTAGTAGAAACCCAGGACTTCTGGTACACGCAGGTATACAAAGTTCAAAAAAATGAATGTTTTGTAATGAAATGCAACAGATCTCATACATTCACCAAGAGTGTGACACAGTCAGAAACTGACTCCTGGGAGGCCAAAGAGTTTCCATCATTCTGCCGCTAATCCAAACAGATGCACAGCCCTGTGGGGTGTGTGGGGCTCCTATTGTCCTTTCCGGGCTTTTCTTCTGAGGTTAGTCTTGGCCTTTGGAAAGAGCCCGAACACCCCTGGAGCTGTCTGCTTAATGACAGATTCATTCACCGGCCCTTCTCTGAGTACCTGGCATGTGCCAGGCCATGAGCTCTTCCCCGAGGGGTCAGAGACGAGCGAGCCATGGGAACCACCGGTCCCCACCTCCACCCAGTTCAAATGGTAGACTGAGCTGGAACAAGATAGAAGGAGGCGTCTACAGTTTCGCTTGCCATGCAAGTGTCAAAACTGCCTCGATGGGTTAATAACTGGGGAAGTGTTCTCCAATCCTTTCCATGGTCAATGCCCACCCGATCGCAGCAGAGTCCCATTGCGACTCCGCTCATGGTGTGGCGTTTGGGCGCCCACGGCTCCCGTTCTGAAGTGTCCCTCACGGGAAGCCTGGGATGACCCAACGTCCTTGCAAAACACATCTTGTCGCTGCTCTCCAGGGTCCCAGCTTTGTCATTCAGAACAGTGACACACGAGTGTGCATTATTCTTAGAAGAACAAAACTTTTGAGCAACAGAATTGAGGGGGAAAGGAAGGAAATGGCTTACCAGCGTTTTTAAGAAGCTCATGACGGAATTATTATTCTCGGTTGTAGCTGCTGTCTGCGGGCCCTCCTTGGCGATCTCCAGGCCTTCGGGATCCCGGGGGAGAGAGCAACTCGCAGGTGTGACTTCCTGTCCCTCGTCTTTGTCTTCAGCTATGTCCTAGGAGCAAAACAGAGTTTTCACAGTTGCAACTTGTTGAATGTGGACTCTCAGAGTAATATTTTTGCTTCACACCCCTGTCTCCCTTGCCCCCTAATTCCAGCCATACTTCATCTGCCCACGGGTGTGTAGAACAATCAGGAGCTTATGAGAGTCACTCTTCCTCCCCCTCCCCCCCTTTCCAACATATTCAGCATTTGCAGCTCATTGGAGGGACATTGTTTGGAGCCCCAGGGTAACAAACATAGCCTGCACGTTGCGTTCCAAACAAAAACCCTTTTCTCCCAGCTCTGCAAAGAGGTTGTGTCTCATGCCAATGGTTTCCATCTTTGTGGTCTCCTAGTCCAATGATCCCCAGAGACGTGTCTGAGTTCTCACAATCTACACAATGGTGAATCACAGCAACTAAAAAAAGACCTGATATTTTAAAATAATAATTATGTTGTCAGGATCTGGTTGTTTATTGGCACTAGGAAGGCGATATAGGGACTGAGTTTCTCCTCTAACTCAGCCGGAGGGTAGGACGCATTCTGATTCTGTTCTCTTGTCTCATCTCCACTCCTATGACCTTGGGTCAAGCCCTGGCCATCTCTCCACCCCAGGGCTGTAACGGTCGCCCACCCTGTCTGCTTAGACTCTTGGCCCCTCCAATCCATTATTGACTCAACAGACCCCATCCTCCCACTCCTTCCCGCCCTCCAGAGACTTTCCATGGCCCCTGGAGTCAGGGTGCCCCATGTCTTACAGGGTCCTGCCCATGTCTGCATATCTAGGCTCTGGCACTCTCCCCTTCATTCCACTCTCTCCGGCCACATTTCTTTGAGCTTCTCAAACATACTGCAAGCTAGTTCCAACCTCAAGGCTTTCTGTCTGGAACATTCCCCCGCTCTGTCTGCCCAGGGGTAACTTCCATTCATCCTTCAAGTCTTCAGTTTCGCCTCTCCCCACCTCACCGTCCTCTCTAGGACTGTCCCTTGCCCCTTCCCGTCTCAGCTATGAGAACCTTTCTCTTTATTTGCTTGGTATCTGGCCCTGGCTTCCTAGCCCCACTAGACTGGAAGCGTGACAAAGGCAGGAGTTACCTCGACTTTGCTCACTGCTGTTTCTTAAATATCTAGGGTGGGAAGGCCCACAGCAGGCATTCAATAAATACGGACCGTGTGACTACCTAATAGATGAATGGATGTAAATACATTTTATATCAATGGGATGGTGCTACCTGCATCAACTAGTTTTTTCCATGTAGTAAAACAGCACAGACACCTTTCCCACTGCAAGCAGCTACATTTGCAGCATTCTTCATGTCTCACGTGGTCTTCCATTTTCCGGCTGTGACATTGGTTACTGTCCAATATCCTTACTGATGGGCATTTATAGTGCTTATGGTTTTTACAAACAGTGTTTTTAATCAATCATGTGTATCTATATTTCCTTTGGGTAAATTTCCAGAAGTGAAACTTCTGGGTCAAGAAGTATGCAAATATTATAACTTTATAAATATCCTTATACAAAAAAGGAAGATTTCACTAGGAAGGTCCTCCAGGCACCACTTCAGATCTGAAAGCTGTTTGGTTCATAGGCAGGGGTTGCAGGTGATACGTGAAACACATGCAAGGCAGGCAGCTCAGTGCCCGGGGAGTAGGGACTTACAGTGGGGAGCTTGGCCTGGAGGTGGGTAAAGAGAGGGAGGCTGGCTCACCCACTCCCTTCAAATACAAATAAACCGGTAAATGTTACACATGACTCAGGCAGTGAAGACTGCAGGGGAGAAACCAAAGAGGAGGAAGAGCAGGCGCCTTTAAGAGGCTGTGTGTGGGGATGCGGGGGAGGCATCTATTCTGGAAGGTCCCCGACCCCTGGGCTGGGTCAGCTGCTCGGGGCCACTCCAGTCTCACAGCCCATGGGCTGGGCCCCAGAGCTCGAAAGGGATGGAAGGGTCTGCGTCTAGGTCAGCCTGCTCCCAGACTAAACACAAGGGGACATTTATTGAGCTTCTTGGAAATAACATGGAATGCAGCAAAGTCAACCGAAAAGGAAACGGACTGGTAGAATGTCAGAGGATCCACCTGGACCGGGTCGGGCCTGCGTGGACAGGGTTGGGTCTGCACGAACCAGGTTGCCATCAGGAAAACCCTGCCACGATGGGTCTCCTCTGAGCAAAGGAGAGGGACCCCTAATACTTCTTCACTGAGGGAAGGGACTCTGACTGCAGGGGACACAGCTCCAGAGAGCTCAGGAAGAGAGGAGCCTCCAGCCTCCCCCCACACACCTTTCCTCACCCTTCCATTCACCACAGTGGAAAATTCCCAACGTTAGAGAGAAAACAAACAGCAAGGATTCTGAAACGTAGAGAGGAGAAGACAGACCGGCTGGGGACCCGAGGGGCAACGCGGTGGTGAGTTCCCCGGGCTTCCTTTTGGCCTCATACGTCCTAGACTTGGAGTTGAAGAGGCCGGCTCCCTGGACATACCAACGGTCCCTGGCCAGAAACGATCCTCTCAGGAAGCCCGCTCTCTCCCCCGAGGGCCAGTCTAGCAACACGACACTCTCAGGCGGTAACTGCTCTGCACCAGCCAGACACCAACTGTGTGAATCTACAGTAATTTCAAGGCTAAAAAGTTCTATAAAAAGCATTACAGCGCAGTGCTGGAAGAGCAAGGATGAAGGCCCATGACAAGGTCTGGGAAGGAAAACAAGGCAGCACGTGGTATTAACGCGGGAGGTTTGCCCAGGACCACACGATGGGCTATTCTGCAGCCACGGATCCTTTCAGGATGCATCATGGGGAGGAAGAATGGCCATGATGGTAAGAAAAATGGGCAACCTTTACGTGTCAGGCTCCGTGCTGAGCTAGCTAAAGAGATTTCACTGAATTCTTAGAACGATCCCAGGAAGTGTGTACTACTTGTAATTTCATGTTGACTGATGAAGAAATGGATGCGCGAGAAGAATGAATAACTTGCCTTTGGCCGTAGAGTGGAGCTGAGATTTGACCCCAAGGCCAAATGATTTCAGGGGCAAAAAGCTCTTATTGGTTTGAGAGAGAGAGAGAGAGAAACGTCCATTCGTTGTTCCTCTTATTGGTGCAGTCACTGGTTGATTCCTGTATGTTCCCTGACCAGGGCTCAAACCTGTAACCATGTCATATAGGGATGATGCTCCAACCGACTGAGCAACCCGGCCAGGCCCATAAGCTTGTTTAAAGCACCACCCTGCATTGCCTCCACCATCTCCCTTCCTTCAGGTGTTTACTTAAATATCGCCTTCCCGCCAGGGGGTTTCCTATTTTAATTTCCTTGTCTCTGTCCCTTTTCCCTGCTATATATTATTCCCATTTTTTGGTCATCATTCATATACAACACATTTTACCCAAAGACACATGGGAATTTAGTGTATAATAAAGGTGACACCTCAAATCTATCAAAGCAAAGAAGGGCTTTTTAATAAATGATGTAGGAACAACAGGGCGGCCATCTGAAAAAAATTAGCTCGTTGCCATAACTCAGCCCTATAGGATAAAAGCCAAACGCACAAAAGTACTAAGAAAACATGGAAAAAAATCTTTCATAATTTTGGATCAAGAAGGTTTTTGCAACTTTGACTCAAAATCCAGAAGTTATGAAAAAAAAGATCGAAAATGAAAACATCCAAATGTTTGGAAACATTCAGTCGGGAGGCTGGGGTGAGACACAGGCCCTCATTCAGACAATACTGAGTGGAGTGTAAATTAATTTAGTCCTGATAAAGGACTGACATGTTGGTGCTATTGTAAGGAAAGAACATATTCTTTTAGCCAGCAACCTCACTTCTAAGAGTTAATGCTAAACCTCAATTCACACATGTGTGAAATAACAAATACACGAGGTTTGCAGTGAGGTAATAGCAAGGGTCTGGAAGCCAGCCAAATGCCATTAATAAGGTCCTGGTTAAATAAAACACGGTACATCCATTCAATAGAAAACTCCGTAAGTGTTGCAAATGGGGAAGAGGTACAACTATAGAAAGTAGCGCCCTCTCTGTACAGATATGGGAAGCAGTGTTGACTGAAAAGAATTCAAAATAGAACGCCCAAAGAAACCCCAGAAGGATGCAGCTAAAAATACGAACAATGGTTATCTATTGGGGTGGCACTGATAGAAGAGTACGCCATTTTATAATTTCTTAATTTTCATTAAAAATTACAATGAACACACAATGTGGGCGACTAATTCCAAATTTAAAAAAATATCTCGAGGGCCAGACTACATGCACGTGCTTGGGAGCATGACCCAGCCCGAGGCCCCCAGTTTGGGGCCTGTGCCTTAAATATTGGGTCGTTTGTAGGATCTTTGTCCTTAACTACAAATATAGTTTTCTCTCCTCATCAGGCCTCCAGATCATTCCCAGCAAACAGAGGTCTTCGGCAGACACACAAACGTTCTCCAGGCTGCGTCTGGAAACCTCTCTTTAGCCCACAGGTGTTCCTGGTGTCAGCTTGTTTTCCATCTGTGCGCGTGAAGCCTGTAATCTTTCCCTTTCTGTTGCCTTCAAAGAGCAGACAGACAGGAACACTGGTTAAGTGATCACAATTTGTCATGTTGAAAAATAATGCCGCCGTGTCATAATTTGATTGTCTGTAATAAAACCCATATGGAACTTCTGGGGCCTTCTTTCCACCGTAAATTGTCAACTGGATTTCAGGCTCCTTTAAGCAACGTCAACGTTGTCGAAGTGAAACTATAGGTTAAGGCAGGACGTCAAGACTAAAAGAGCCTCGTGTGGAACAATTTGTGATCAATGTACGTCCCGTCTCCAGTTCCCCAGTGATCGTACCTCACTGGCCTCACGGTGAATCTTTGTACAGAGAATCGGGCCCAATGTACCGCTTAACACAGGCAAGTTTGTCTGAGAGAGGCTGCAGGGTGCAAAACCCACTCCTCTCCTTTCCATCTGTTAGAAATTTGAGCCACATGCTGGCCTGAAATAAAAGGGAAAGCTCTGTTTCCTCTCCCGCTTGGATG